ACAATAAAGTGTTACAGGACCTGTTGCTGCAAACAATCAATAAAGCTGAGTCTGTAATGAACGATTAGACGATAGAGAACTTGGAAACATAGATGTAAGCCCATTCATACGGGTGCCTTCTAGTTGTGGCAAGTGTAGAGCCATTAAAACCCCAGTCACTAATATATAATTTTTCACCGGGTACAGGATAGTCCACCTTAGAGTTATAAGCACAGTCTCTCCATTTTGGGAAGCCAGCATCTCATCATGTGAGTGACCAGTCCTTTTCTGTATCCTTGAAGGGGCAAGCAGACACGCTGAGGCGATGAAGCTCTAGTCGCATGGCTAGGGGCAGTTCCTCCAGGCATTAACATCTCCAGTCGCCAACCGTTCTTGATACTGTCCTGATAAGGGCTTTCTGTACTCAGAGACTTAAAGGTAGACATTAAGCAAGAAGGCTGGTAATTATTAAAAGCAGAAAAACAAATAGGGAGGGAGTTGGAATGTCCTTTATAAGAAAAATTACGATTAGTAACATGTTTGACTTGAGCATGAAATAAAGCAGGCTCTCCACTTTTCCTGTAAGAAGCCTTCATTTTATCAGAGGTTTTATACTTTCTTCTGGATCTCAGTGTCTAGTCATAGCTGAATAGCCTGAAGAGTCCAAATTTAAATGATTAATAACAAATAAAGTGTGATTCAAGATGTGGTGAGGAGAGTTATACTTGAACTCACCCTCTTATAACTTAATTGATTTTTTAAAGTTTGGTGAACTCTTTCAACTATGGCTTGACCTTGTGGATTGTAGGGAATTTCTGTGGAATGAGAAATATTAAATTAGGAGTAAAATTGCTGGAAAGATTTAGATGTATATGCAGGACCGTTGTTGGTTTTCAGTTGCTCTGGCATACCTAGCTGTGAAAAGCAAAAGAATAAATGTTGTACCACATCCTTGTAGGCTTCTTCCAGTTTTTGCTGAAGCTAAAATAACATGAGAAAATTTATCTACAGTCACATGCAAATAAGACAATTTTCCAAAGCTGTTAGGTCTCAGTCCTCCAGAGTTGACTCCTCCTGGAGCTGGAACAAATTTTTTTTTTTTTTTTTTTTTTTTTTTTCCTCAGAGAGTAAACTGAATGTAAATTGTTTATAATTCTCTGGGCTTAAAGGTATAGTAAAGAAACAATTCTGCAAATTAATAATTATAATATTAAAGTTAACAGGTATAGCCATACAGGCTGTAACACTCCATGGCTCCCATAGTAGTGTTAATAGTTCTTAAATCCTGTAAAAGTCTCCATATACCAGATTTTTTTTTTCTTAATTACAAAACTTAGGCTTTTCATTAATTGGACAGG